GTAAATTGAGTCTTCCAAATGTGTAGTTTTCCTCTATTGTGTGATTTGTATCTAAATTATGTACGTATGAGTAGTCCACGATATAATTTGCAGTTTCAACTTACTAGAGAATTGTTGGACTTGAAACAACCTCTTACGCTATAGCGTATATACAACTGTCTGCTGATCTATTTATGTTGGCTGTTTCTTTTTCCTTAAAGTATAAATGTATAATACTTTTGAAAAGGAAATTAAATGGAAGAAGCAAAGCATGCAAGGAGTCCCGTAGCTTTCACGGCAAAAGTTTAGAGCTTTATTGAAACTCAAGAAATTAAGCTTATAAATATGATTGAACAAATTAATTAAGCTTCTTCTTCTTACCATTAATCTAACGTGGCTTCCGTAGTTATGTAAACTACGTACCAAAACATGTCACATTCATTCTAACTAATAATAAATACTCAACTCGCCTACAACATTGTACTCATTTGGTACTTTTGTGGCTCTCCTTGAGAAAAAGTTATAGTCCTGTTTGGGGCTATTAGCTAATAGCTGTTAACTGATTGGGGTATAACTAGTTGATAACATTAGCTGATTGTAGAAAGGTGTTTGATAAATTAGTTGTTAGCTGATAACTGTTTGGTATAATTTTCTTTCTAAAAAAGCTATTTGAAAAAGTTACTTTGAGAAGCTTTTTGAATTTTAGCATTTTGGAGTTACAAAAAGCTAATTAAGCAAACACTTATATTGATTTTTTAACCAAATCAAAAAGTTAATAGCGGTCAAATAAGTCAAAATTAGCCTATAGGCTAACTATTTTATCAAACAGGGCCTAGAGGATCAAACCCCCGGCGGTGGGGTATTGACTATTTGTTCCAACAGATGGAGAAAGTATATTGAACATATACTACCCGGAAAATAAAAGTAATGTTATATTATTTTTTGTTTTCAATTTCATTTATATTTGATTAATTAATAAGTAGGTTTTTATTTTAACATTGAGTGTGATTGATCACTTGATCAATTTATGGTAGTCAATAAATAAAAATTTTAATTGCTGGATGTGAATATTATTATGATGGGAATTGGGGAATCAAAAAGTAAAAATAAAATTATACAAATAAATAGAATGTGATTTTCTTCTCCATTTTGTTTAAAAGACAAATAAAGTAATTAAATTAAGAAAAAGAGTTTATTATACTTTTGGTTTTTGACTATAGTTGAAATTTTACTTTTAATTATTGACTGATTTATTTTATAATTAGTTATTAACTTCATACAACGCTTTATTTTTAGTTCAAAATATTCAAAATACTATTAGTTTATGAAAACATTACCATATATACCTTATCGTAAAAAAATGTTTTTTAAAGTCAAAAACTAAAAGTGGAACAAATTATAGTTAAGGTGTAGAAGTGGACATGCCATTATAATTATTGAGAGACCACTATTAAAATTAAACGTTTAGCATTATACTAAAAGTTATAGCATAAAAATACGTAGATGTTATATATACATATAGCAATTAGAGTGGCGTTTTGAGCTGTAGGATACTAACTAGCTAGAATTGACCATCGACCTATAACTATAAATAAAATAAACTATTGAAAGAAAAGTAAAAATTTAGAGATACCGCATTTAAATTTTAAAATGAACATTACTTTAAAATGTACTAAAACGGAACATATATAAAATAGGACGAACAGAAATGGAAAATTAGATTGAGTAAGCCATCCCATTATTGCTTTGAATTTCCGTGATGAAGTAAAAGTACAAGATCGAGTCCTAATAGTTGTAATGCTTCTTGTGGACACTAAGCACTAGTCCTTCAATTGTTGTTGCTTTTCATTCCGGGCTAAGTTTTTCTAGCATCAGATCAAAAGCATACTTAATGAATAGAATTAACAATACTAATATTTGTTCTTAATTTCATTAAACTCAAAAGTATAGAAGTTAAATAAATTAAGCATAACTATATAGTATAGAGAGTACTTTAATACTTTAACCAATTCAAGGTCTCATTTAAGTTTCATAGCTAAATTAAATCTTATCTAGTAATCGAAGGGGATCGAATGACGTAGTGAAAGAACAAAAGAATGTTACATTTTATAAAGAATCCTATGCTGCACCTAACTTTGGACGGAAACCAATTGAAAATGCTACTTTACCATAATATGATAGTAGTTAGTATAGGAAATTTGAAAGTTATAAAAAAAAAAAAATTGTTAAATGAAAAACGGAGAATTAGATTATAGATGGATAAATGAAATCTTTAATTTTTGTTGCACCATGACCCCACTATAACTTATAAAAATCAGCTATATATGTATTTTGGGTTCTACCAAATACAAATCAATATAATATAGTAAGTGGAATTGAACTTACTAAACTCTAATAACCACATATCCATTACTTAGCTAAACAGTGCATATGTTATTGTGTTAGGAATAATGGCCTTTAGATTTTGGTGATGTTAATTATGTGTAATGTTATGCATTTTAGAACCTCCAAAATTCCATTGTAATTCTTGTTTGATAGGACGATTTTTAAAGACTAAAATATGACTTAGTATAATATATCGTTCAAAATTTATTTTAGCAGATCTTATCTAAAAAGATCCCATAGGCAGTATATCTTGATATAGTACATCAACACTTTAGCAAAAGTCATCTAAAAAATCCTACAACAAACACTGTAAAATTGATTACATCCGAACTTGATAGATCGATCAAGAGAATATTTGAGGAAGAGAACTCTTCTAACAGATCCGAGTAGTCTCTATTCAACATCAGAGCTATTAACTTGGCTCATTAGAAGTAGTACTATATAGCAATTCAAATGACATACGCGACAAACTTTTAATTCATGTGTTGATATCTTTCGATAGATGTCTTAACACCCAATCATTATTGGAGTTAGTAAAATCATCTAAGTAAGAGTATAACAGATCTTTTCATTGCAACAGATCCAAGGTCTACCGACAAAAATATATTCGACAGAATTAAGTACAAAAAATAAAGAATGTCTTTATAGAAAAAGAATTGTTGGACGCAATTTTTACGACTTCTAGTATCAAGACAAGTTCTAACAAATTGTAAAGTTGCTTTTGGATGCAAAATGAATCAATGGTATGTACTATTTTTATGAGTTTAAAAGATTCAATTAAAGTTTTCTTTTATTTTTTCTGTTCGATGTCTTAATTGTAATTGTGTAAGTAGTTAAATGACATATTCAATCCTTAATCCTTTAATTTATTACACGCGACAAGTTTTGGATATTCAAATATAATAAAAAAGTATATTTTTAATGCAGATAGCGTTTAAATTAATTCTAAGATTATAGTCCATTAATTTAACACAGGAAGGATAATCATTTTCTCAAGTTTTCGTATTCCCGTCATATATAATTGTAACAACAATGGAAGCATACACCCCACACATTGGCTCATCCCATGATTGGCAATATAATCCTTTTTTATTTTTTTAAATCTATTGTCCAAAGTGCGGTCCACTGTACATTTTTAGATTATGCAAAAGGCATAAACACACTGACCCCACACTCCTCATGCAAAATGACGACATAATTCAACTAACAAATTTTTTCCAAAAAATAAAAAATAAAAATTCAACTAACAAAATTAAAACTCGAGCTCCTCCTGCCCCACACCCCACATTTACTTTATCTCACATTAAAAACCACCCATCCTTTTTTGCTTTTATTTGTTAGTATTATTACTTATAGCCAAATTTAGAGTATAATTTGATGATCAAAACGTCTCAACTTAAATAATCGTTTTAAGTTCAAATTAAACTATCTGTCCCTCGTGATAGGTATGAGAAAAGAGACCCGCATGAGCAGCTCAATTGGTTACAGAGATGAAACTTTAGAACAATGACAAGGGATCGAGTCTCATCAGCGACAGTGTGGGAGCAACCTCTCAAAGTGAGGGGGGTTCCTTGTGCACAGTGAGCACAGGTCTAGCCTCTGTGGTTCATGTTCAGTGGAGCAACCTCTCAAAGTGAGGGGGGTTCCTTGTGCACCGTGAGCACAGGTCTAGCCTCTGTGGTTCATGTTCAGTTGAGTTATCATGATTTACATCCTCCCAAATGTTCTGTCGGGTTGGGGTTCAACCTTTTGGAAGAAAGTATGAGAAAAGAGATCGAAGTAAACGTGATTAAAGGAGCTCTTTATATAAGATATATGACACTAATTGATTCTAAATTTATTTGAAAGATATAACAATAAAAAAATTAGTAATATTTTGTTAACACTTATCATAATAACATATATATATATAAACACAATAACATGTATTTTATTGAACACAAAATTAAAATTAATAACAAATACTCTTCTCGTACCATTTTATGTAATTGATTAACGAAACTTGACTCAATTTATTTTTAATTCAAATTTTTAAAATATTTAATTTAGTGTTAGTATATTAAATTTATATATTTAAAAATTACATCAAATTTACTATTAAATACAGAAAAATTAAATTTAAAATTTATAAAAAAAATATTTAAAAAATAAAGATGTGTTAATTTAACCAATTAATAATAGGTAGGGCAGGTAAAATGGAGTTGCTTGCACAGATAGCTCGATTGATTTTTGGATAGCAGATTTTGGGTATAAGAACACGTGATTGAACCTTGATGTAGTTGATCGGCGGCGGTGGTGTGAGAATTATGTCCAACGTGGGCAGATTCCTTATGCACACCAATATTTGGCCATGCCTGCTGAACCATTGAGTCACTGTGATTTATAACTTCCTACAATGCTTTGTCAAGTCGGAGTGTGGGAGCCCTTGGGGTTGGGGCCTCAACCTTTTGATTATATTTGGGAGAGGAGTTGAGAGAATATTTATTTCAAATACAATAAATTCAATTTAAAGGAGTTGAATAATTTCTAAAACCCACCAATAAATATGCAAATGACTCGTGTTTTGTCATCTATAAATAATCACCATAACCCTTCTTTTCCTCCTCAATCCACTCTTCTTCTCTCCTCCTCCTCCTCAACCTCCACCGTCTCCTCCACCACCACGGTGGCGCTAATTTCAACTCTCGACTAAAAGCAAAGAATTCAATTCATCACGTAGTCCTCTGCTAAGATGAGAACCTTGGAAGGTTCATCAGCTCCGGCGCCAACATCTCCGGTGGCTACCTCTCCGTGGCACTCGCCGGTGCCGTACCTTTTCGGCGGGCTGGCCGCCATGCTCGGCCTAATTGCTTTTGCGCTACTCATCCTCGCCTGCTCTTACTGGCGCCTCTCCGGCTACCTCGAGAACAGCGCCGACAGCGACGGCAGGGATCTCGAGGTCGGAGAGGGTAGTGGCGACGGCGAAAAGAAGGCGGCGGCGGCGCCGGTGTTGGAAGAGAAGTTTCTGGTGATCATGGCCGGTGAAGAGAAGCCCACTTTTATCGCCACGGCGATATCGAGTAGAGCGTCGTCTTTTGGAAGTAAAAGCAGTAGTACTCTGAGCAGTGAAAGTAGTACCCTCGAGAAATCCGAGGGAGAAGAGAATGAAGAGAAGAAGCAGGATGACAACGTTAGCCAGGTGCAAATGGGGGCTGTGGGCCCCCAGGGAACAGATCATCTTTCTCCAAATTAATCCTCTTTCCAATTTTCTTCCAATCTTCAAAAAAAAAAAAAAAAAAAAAAAAAGAAGAAGAAGGTGAAAGGATCATTTGGGATTATCAATATAGTTCTTGAGGGCAAAAATCAAGAACCAAAAAAAAAAAAAAAAAAAAAAAAAAAGGGAAAATTGGGTTTTGATTGAAAGGTAGCATTTTGAGGTGATTATATTTTGCAAAATATAATTTCTTGGAAATTGTATTCCGGAAATGTAAATACTTTTTGGAGAATGAAAATGAATGAAGAGCTTGTCATGTTTTGCTATCTTTCCTTCTAATTCAAGACAAATTTTGCCTTGCACACTACATTTCAATTGGCAACAACCTAGAGCACCTTCCCAAAAGTAATTAATTAAGGGTGAGTTTTGTTCAAATAATTATAGAATCGAAATGATAATGAGAATCAAATATTTGGTATTAATAATGGTAATGGATATCAATATATGGAATGAGTCTCATTGTTTAGTAGAAAGAGTAATGCTATATACTCCTAATTTATTTATTTCCCTACATACGTCTTTCTCTTCTTGACTTGATATTATTTGATTGGTTTAATTTTTTTTTTTTATTAGTGGTTGGTCACCCAATGATTGGGAGCCACATCAAGAGGGCAAATATCAGAGGAGAAATTTATGGGGGAAAAGAAGCATTTTCCTAGTAGTAAATAGGAAATGAAATTTAAATAAATAATTAATTAATTAATAAAAATAAAAATAAATATATAAATGCATTTTTTTAGAACAAAATATATAAGTGTATAACACACATTAAAATTTTATATTTAATGCAACTTTTTATTGTTTTTTATTTTTTTCTTTATCATATTTTATTTCACTGTTCAGTGTTCAAAAGTAAGAAAGACGAAATATAATAGATTTTATGATTATTAAAGAATTTGAATCCGTCAACTCGGCGCCCAGCATTTAGTGCCCAGTTTAATAGTTTTATTGCTTTATAGGTTAAAATTGTAATTTTTTTCTGAAAAGTTAGAGAAGTATTTTGTAATGGTAAATAGTTGAAGGATTAAAACAACTAATAAAAATAATTGATCGAGGAATTAAAATGCATTTTTCACTATGAGAGTATTTGAAAAATAGTTGTTAGTGGGTTTGACTAGCTGTTGAAGAAAGATGTTTGGTAAATTAGTTATTAGCTGTTAGCTAAGAGAATCCACAATAGGTGATTTTTTCACTTTTTTTTCCCACATGGAAGAGAGAGATGGAGGAGAGAGAGGGAGTGAGGTTTACCTTGCAAAGACCCAAGTTTTTTTCAGATTTGTGGTGAATTGTGGGTCCCACCAAAAGAGGAGGGGTAGCCGCCAGCTCGTGTGAAGCGCACAAAAGGCGCCCAGTCGGGCACGTGCACGTCACGCGCCATGCTGGGCGCGTAAATACAATATTTATTATTATTGTTATTTTTGTTTCAGGCTTGTTGTTTTTCCTTTTTCTTTTTTCTCACATTTTTCTCTCTCCTTTCTCCTATTTGGCACCTCAAAAATCGATCCAAAAAACCTTACGATTGAGAATGTCGTAATAGCTAATTAAGTGCAAACTGATCTTTAAGGGTACAATTTATTTTCTCAAAAAATTGAACGTTTTTTAATTTTACCATTTTGAAATAATAAGCTGTTATAAAAAGCTGATTAACTAAGCACTCATATTGGTTATATAACTAAATCAAACAACTAATAGTAATCAAACAAATCAAAATTTACTGATAAGCTAACTATGTTACTAAACAATGTCATATATACACACTTGCAAGATGTAAATGCTAAACTAATAATTATATCATTGTCTATCATGTGAATCATCTACCTGCTATGTAGTTAGGTAGGTGCTGGGCTCTACAATTAAAGCTTCTAAGGCCTATAGTGAAATGTGGTTGATTCAATTTTCCTTTAACAGCATTAAACCGGCTGGTCAACCAACCAGTCAGGTTTTCGACCGGAGTGGTTCAGCAATTCACATGAATTCACAGTGAAGGGATCAAACAAGAATTTCTGGCATTAATTCTGGGTGCTGCTTTTAGTTGGTCACGTGACATTTCATATCTGTGAACATCTACCTGTATGACGCTCTTTTTTCTTCCTTTTATTTATTTATTTATTTATTTTTTTAATGAACTACAAATCCAACATTTTTATATAACGAAAACTTTAATTATATTTATAATCATTCTTCCAAAAGCTGAACCCCAACCTTAAGGGCTCCACACCCCGGCCCGACAGAATATTTGGGAGGATGTAATTATATTTGGTAGGGAATATCCCGACCGACATAAGCTCCACCACGACCGACTTGCCTTTGTCTTTCTCTTCTGATCTTTGCAGGTGGCAGGTCGGGCTTTTTCCATGGAGACCCCGGTCGGGAATGGCCGGAAGTTGCCCGAACGCTGTTGTCGACCACCGAGCGGTAGCCCTTTGGCGAAAGAGCTGACGAAGGACACGTGGCGGCTCTTTACATCGACAGGCAGGGCACCCGGGAGGATGACACGTGGTGGCTACGTGGAGGACATGCCGAACGGCTGGAATCCTGTCCCCGACATAGCGGCTATAAATACCCACAGTAGCTACAGTGTAATGGACTTTTGGACGATCGATAGGTTGTTGTTAGAGAATCCCGACCGCACTCAGTCGGTACTCAGAGCAACCAAGTAGATTGTACTTAGGGCCTTTACCGTGATCAATAAAGATTTTACTTGTTTTAATTGATCTCGTGTTATTTTATATTGCTTACATATAATTAGCAGTATCATTTTGGCGCCGTCTGTGGGGACCCGTGCAAGAAACCAACGTCTTGACGAGCACCCGGTCTCTATACCAACATGTATCCGTGGGCACACAACAACTTTGCTGACGACCAGGCGGATGCGGCGAGCTCCTCCGACCACTATGCTACCCAACAGCAGGGTCAGACGATGGACCTCAACCTCAACCTCTCGCCACCGCATCCATCAAATACATACCCAGCCGCCCAGCAGCCGGTGAATTACATACAACCGGGATACCCAACACCCGGTCTGCCATACCAGCAGCAGCCGATGATGTATCCCGCCCAATATCCGTACCCGGTCCCACCTCCACCGTATGGGTACTGGCCAGGCCAACCAATGTGCTACACTTCCCTGGTTGGCTATCCACCGTATACGCCAGCTTATGCAGCTCCAGCCGCCGCCCCTCCAGTACAACCGACCGCACAAGTAGAGCCGCAGCGTCAGTCCACATCCCGGGCTCGACGCTCGGCTCATTCGCGGTTGGGGTCGGGGGGTGCTGATGCGATGGAGGCACCAGCTCAGGCCGTTCAAGCGGAGGACCCTGAAGAAGTTGCCCGAGCGGTAGCTTTTGATCGTCTCCGACCAGAGATGCGCCAGCGTTTGAGACCCCAAGACCCGAATCGCGGGCAAGAGGACGTACAAATGCAGGAAGCTAGCCACGAGGCTTCATCCGGGTATAGCGGGTCGAGATCTCACCGACGGCGACGCGCTCGGGATACAGCCCAAGCCGCTCAAGCCGCCGAGCTCAACGAAACCCGAGGATTGCTCTACAACCTCCAGGCTGAAGTTGCGCAGCTCAGGAGTGCGTATCCTACAGCACCCCCGGCCGACCGATCGACCCTACACCAGACGCCTTTCACAGCAGCGGTAATGGCTCAGCCTTACCCGCTCGACTTAAAGGTCTCGGGAGAGAAGAGTTACGACGGTCGGACAGATCCTGAGGCTCACGTGAATGATTTTTTCAGTAACATGATGCTGAAGGGCGTTTCGGACGCCGTGATGTGCAGAGCCTTTTACTCGACCCTCACCGGTCGGGCAGCGGAGTGGTTCCGTACCCTGCCACCGGGGTCGATCGATAAATTTGAGACCCTGGCGATCAAATTTGTGAGGAAGTTCATCACTTCCAAAGTGGTGAGGAAGTCCTACATGTATCTCGAGAAGGCCAAGCAGCTGGAAGGGGAAAGCTTGACCGACTTCCTCATCAAATGGAAAGCGGCGGTCGGGGAGGTCGAGCCTATGGACGATGCAACCGCTACCCACATGCTTCACATATCTCTTCGGGCGGGACATTTGTATCAGGACTTCATCCTACACCCCCCGACCACTTACGAGGAGGCCCTTCGGAGGGTCACAGACTATGCCAACGCCGGCGAGGCGAATGCCGTAAAGCGCTTGCAGGAGGTCGGCTGAGGCGAATGCCGTAAGCCGGCCGGCCGAGCGGAGCATCGGTCAGGAGACGACCATCCCCGATCCCGCACCAGGCCTGGCGAGTTTACGCCCTTGAACCGATCTGCAGCGGAGGCCATGCAGTACGCCCAGTCCTGCAATCTCATCAAACTCCCCCATCCCGATCGCGACGGCCCGGACAAGAGTAAGCACTGTGCTTACCATCGATGCGCCGGGCATGATACCGAGGAGTGTACCTACTTGCGCCAATTGTTGGAAGATCTGCTCAACCTGGGAAAATTGGACAAGTGCGTGGGGAAGAGGGAGGACAACAAGAAGAATACCGATCGGAGAGACCATAGGCGTTCTCATCATCGCTCCGATCGGTCGGGTCAGGACCGAAGAGACGATCGAAGGGACGATCGTCATGATGACCGACGGGACCCTGACCCTCCGTCCGGTAGCCGCCCGTCCGGAAAACCTACCATTCACGTCATTTTTGGTGGGCTGGAAGATGCTTCCCGACCGCGGACTAATTGCCCGGTCGCAGTAGTGGATTCCCGGGAGACCAGGAAGAGGCAGAAGATGGAGCCCATAACCTTCACCCTTGAGGACCAACCTACCAGCAGCGACCACGGCATGGAGGCGCTCGTGGTCACGATCGACGTTAAGGGGACAGACGTCCAGAGGGTTATGGTTGACACGGGCAGCAGTGTGAACGTCCTATACTTGGACGTGTTTGAAAAGCTTGGCCTTGACAGGAAGGAGCTGACTCCGGTTGGTGTACCACTGTCAGGATTTACCGGGGCTCTTATCTACCCCGAGGGAAAAATAACGCTCCCGGTCGAGATCGGCACGCCTCCAAAGTCGATCCAAACGGAGCTAGAGTTTGTTGTGGTCAACCTCCATTGCGTCCACAACATTATCTTGGGCCGACCCGCCATTATGAAGATCGGTGGGATAATTTCTATGCCCCACCTGTGCATGAAATTCCCCACCCCCAACGGGGTCGGCGTGGTCCGTGGCGATGTCCAGTCCGCCCGGAAGTGTTACACCCGAGCGGTCAATAGACGTGACTCCGGTCCATCTTCCCGGGTGAACACC